CCACTGGTTCATAGTCTCGGGTGAATACGCAGAATGCTTGAACTTTCACACCATCAACCAGAGAAATGCCAGTGGTGTACTTTGAGCCAATGAAGTATAACAGCATATCATGCATTCGACCTGAATACCGACTTGCCACAGCCTTTCGGAACCGCAACAAACATGTTTCCAATATCTGTAGCCGCTGGTCGTTAGTACCAGGAAGGGTGTTGTGCAAAAATAGCAGTTGCACAAGGCGCGGATCGCATTCTGCACAGAAGTCAGGACAGACAGAATTGTGAGGAACACACAGTGGTATGGACACAGACCAGCAATATCTCAGAATGTGAAAATGAAAATTTCAAGCGGTAATTGACATTTGGATGTGATCATTGGTCATATTCACACCAACTCTACTTGTGTTACTCCTCACACTTAAAAGTCAGAACACTACATGAGTCATCGTCGGTGTGTGACTTAATAATACTGTATACATACGTAAGTACATCATGTCAGTCCTGTTTACAAACATACATGGCTTTGCACGAGTATGTTACTCAAGTTGTCGTGAGTATATTTTAATCGGTCGCATTCTTCAATCCAGTGCATAAGTAGATATCGAATTCACGCGCATGCAGGGACATTCTCTTAAGACATAAAAATATTTGCCAGGAAACAAATGTTCCGGATACATGGACATGTCCTTCAATGCGAGTACTCGAGACTTAAAATTATACACTCTTGGGTATATATTTATAGTAAAGAAAAGGACCAAGGAACTACAAGTTCTGCTATAATGTCCACTAACACCACCAGTTACTTGACAATCAGCTCATGTGATAACATTGCACAAAACTGAACGACCGTACTGATGACATACAGTAAAACCTGTAATGGCCACCACTCGACCATGGCGACCACTTTTCCTTTTCACGGACGTATTCACATTCAAAACAGCTCGGATATGGCCACCACTCGACCATGGCGACCACTTTTCCTTTTCACGGACGTATTCACATTCAAAACAGCTCGGATAAGGCGACCACTCACATGTGGATATGGTCACGTGACCCACTGAACCTGGATAAGAAGACCACCTGGCCCAGCATGGCGACCACTTTTTCTCTTCCCCTGAGGGGTCGCCTTAGACAGGTTTCACTGTACATGATTCAATATCAAACCTAAGCCTGCCATGGCAACTTCATTGGAAATTCAAGTTTGAATCATTCAACATACACTCTAAAACATCCAACACCATTTTGTATGTGAAAGCATACCTTCCTTAGCAGTACACACTGTGACAAAAACCACAGATTGCGCCCACAGACTGCACCCCACATGGATTCTCTGTGCTGTTCATGTTATTCAGCGAAATTCACAGATAGCGCCCTCCACGGATTTCCTGTTCTCTTCATGTTTTCAACAAAGTCCACAGATTGCGCCCCACATGAATTTGTTGTGCTCTTTAGGTTCGCAGCAAAACCCACAGATTACATGAACCACACATGTGAATTTTGCACCACACATACTTGGGCGTATTCCCGGAAGTATCCCGGAAGGTTAGGGACGAGGATTTACCTGGTCTGGCGCCACAAATATTTCCGTGTCACCCCAGGATGCGTGCGCAATCTGCAGATTACGCAGGCAATCTGGAATCTTCAGATTGCGTGAAAAATACACAGTGATTCATTATCCACATAAAGACAACATACAGGATATTGGTGTGGATGTGTATTGAAAGTCCGTGCTGCAAAGAAATACTCGTACCACCACCAGCAGACCACAAGTCTCTATTCTATAGGTCTTATTTCGGAATAGACTTACCCTGTATCAGATGATCAACACTGATCAGCTTCAGCAAGGCACTGCACTCTACACCACACAGTGTACAGTAGAGAAGTAGTCTGAGTACTACAGTATGACGATACTTGGGATCACCTCTACTCTGGATGGTAAGGTAGCGATTCATCAAGTGCTGGGCCAGGTGACGATCAGGCATATTTAACATAAACAATGCATATGCACACCGATCAACAGCTCTACATTCCTCAATGCACATGACATCAAGCTGTTGTTTTAGTAACTTCGTGAATTCTGCAGTTGAACATCGACACGTTGCGGCCCAGTACACTGCCCATATCAGGTTGTGTTGGTTCTTGCTTTCTTGCCAGACATACGTAGGTAGACTGGCTAGTTGCTTCGGTGCAGATACTGCCAGTGTGGTCACGTCAGTGTTCTCCTCATTGACAAGAGCACATGCCTGCAGGATAAACCTAACCTTGTTTGGATAGTGTAGTTCAGTAACATGTCGTTGAATGAGAGAATATTGTGATAGTGGATAGCTGGGTTGAAAAGTGTGTGACTTCACGATGCTATCAAAGATTGAATCAATGGCATCAACAGCATCATGTACCGTAGTGACTTGACGACCAGACTGATCTGATCTCCACCTAACTGACTGCCTGGACTGTGCTGATGTCTGAGTCACCTTACTAGTAACACATAACCTTGACCCGCTGGTTGACTGGACTAACCGGCTCTGTACACTCACAGCATAACCACGCTGAACAAACTTACTGACAGTCTTGAGATTGCCATGTAACTTTGAAGCAAACATGTTCTCCTGGTGATGTTGTATATTCAGTAGTACACGGGTGTATAGCGTACAGTGTATGGTGTGGATTACTGAGAATTTCTCAGAAGATTACGTACTGCCGGTCTGTAGAGAATAACACACAGTGCGGCAAAATACACACACACACACACACACACACACACACACACACATACACACAACATACAACAGATCAGATACTAGTATACATGCAACTGTACACAATATCTACAGCCATGCTAGATGAAATCCGGGATCATGAATAATACATTTCCGGCCATACAGCGGTGCACAACCCAATGTTGGAAGGTCTACGGCTGCACAGTGTCCAGTACTAGCTGACTTACATGGACCAGATTTCAGTGACCAACACTTACTGCCTCAACCAGATCAGTCACGAAGGACATGATTCGTAAAACTGATTTTGGGTTTTCAGTAACTTGAATGCAAAAGATCACTTCAGTAAGTTTATAACTACACGTACACGTGTTGTTTGACTTGAAAACAAACTTCAGTCAACCACATCGAAATTCCCTGGCAATTATTATTTGGCCTCACTAAGGATGGGTAAACGAGTCACCAACATGTACCCCGGCGTACTCGTTCTCTACTACATGTATTTTTAGGAGTTGTTAAACCTCTCGATTTTTTCGTCGGCCGAAAGGTCGGATAGGGTGGTAAGATTATGGATATCCGATACACAACACAGTATGACATTGCCACATTGGGCGCGTTCGATTACACACTGTAAAAGCCATATATATAACGAAGTCCTAGCTCTAACGAGTTAACGAGGAGAAATCTGTCGTTAAAATCGAAATCGTTATACAGTAATCGATACATATACTGTCCTATTGAGCGTTGAGAATAGGTGAGAATCGTTACCTTTGGTACACGTAAACAAGTCGATTTTGGGAAATCGTTATATATGCGCCTCGTTAGAATAATGGCTTTTACAGTAGTTGCTACTGTCTTATGTCTTCCCGAAAACCTATTTGCCGCAGTTGAGTTTCCGCTGGGGGCTGATTGTTAGAGCAGATCATTTTGGGTGGTCCTTTCGCAAACAAGTTCTGCTTTATCGAAGCCCAATATTGTTGCCGACATGGAGCCTTCACGATCACCGGGATGGACCGGTAGTACGGTACGCGAAGCTGGGTCCACGTGCGCGCGAGGGTGTGCGTGATCTCTTTTTACGATCAATTTTGTTTGTGATATCATATGCCATGAATAAAATGCGTTGTGAATTCCAGTCGTTCCTTTACATGGCCGGAATTCGCACATTCTGGTCATTCGAGAAGTACAAAACCCAGTTCCAGAATTGTGTAAACGTGTAATGGAAAGCGCCCATTGAAATCCGGAAAACTCGAATGCACTCAGCGGTCTCAGCCCGGCAGTCAACTATTGTTTCTTCAACATTCATCTTCCTTTTTGTACATACATAATTCTCTTACCCCAGTAAGTTTTGATAGCGGTATGATACAGTTGCACAGTGAATAGAGATGTTCAGCACTGCACGGATTACCACAGCAACACTGTTGTGGATGTAACAAACTATTATGCACGTCAGTAGCCAATAGTGCACCTTCTCAGCGATCGACGCCAGGATAAGGAATATTCTTCAACTGATGATATAAACCAGCGAGTGCCACTAAGTCCTTTCTGACCTTAGCATAACAACACGCTAACGCTAGCTGGTAGATCTAACATTATGAAGGCGAGATCGAGGTGCTCTTGTTGTTTCTTGTTTTGTTATTTTGTCCTTGTTTTTTTTAGCGCAAATGGCCAAAATTTTCAAAAAGGCTTTTGATAACACACGCGTCATCACTCACGTGTCAAACCTCACGGTGACCTAGTACTAATAGTACCTGGACACGGTCCGTAGATCTGTAGCCGTAGTGTAGCGCACGTACATTATTATATCAGTCGATGCATGCATGATTATTTTTATCTGACTGCTGAGTTGGCTCTACCACTACTACTGACTAGTACCCCAAACAAATAACACAAGCCGCACTCCGGACATAACGCTAAACATGTATTCATCGGGATAGACCACCCCCCGTAGATCCACTTATTATTCTATACGAGATCAAAGAAAGAAAAATTATTCAGAACCGAGCAGCAGTGATATCCTGGACATCCGTACACTACATCACATGCACATGTAGATTATAGTGAATTTTGTTGATGCGAAACAAGAGAGCCTGGTCAGGACCATTGCTAGGACTGGTCTATGTTAGTTCTATATCCTCATACTTGTACGAACAAGCCACATTTCCAGGCTACAACACACATGGTTGGTCATAATCCGATCTCACATGGTCATGCCGTGCCGCCTTACAGAACCCCCCCCCCCCCCCCCCAAACACACACACAAACACAGATCACGGCAGACGCTACTACCTTTTTAAGTTTTAAATATGTAGCTCAGTCAAAGATATGGATCCTGGCTACTCCAGATGCTACTTGTACTATGCATAGTATGGACAATGGAAGCTGAAAACACACAATGTCATGTGGAGGATTCACAATATCAAAGTACACTGTACTGTATATGCACGCACAAAGAAAAAAGAATTGGGAACTGAATGCACAGACACGCAAACATTCACGCACAAACTCAACAATGCCTGGATTTCAAAAACACAATCAACACGCATACTACACTAGCACTAGCAGCACTACCCTCTCACATACGATGTACTCAGTTACTCAGCCAATGGAGTGGAATTCAACAAGAGGCAGCACCAATTTCCTCAGTGATCAGCTCAGCAGAAAAAGTGGCAAGAAATCGAAGAAATGAAAACTTCAATCACAAGACCAAAAGAGATGTCCACAACTTTCTTAGTAATCACAAAACGGACCTCATATTCCAGTCTCACATGATATCACACACTTCATAACGGCACAACTCGACATAGTATCCTGCTGTCCAGAAATATCTGAGAGAACACAGAAGAATCACACAAACAGCAAATACAATTGTTTGTGATCGGGAAAGTATTACACAGCTCACTCCACTCTCCATGGTGGTTGTCCAGTTTCTTTCCCGACCTGGCTAGCTACTTGTACATGCATCTCTGTTCCAGACTGCTATGATGGCAAGAGTACATAAAGCAGAATGTGCGACTCTGTAGATGGGTTCTGGACAGTAGAATTCTCCGTTTATATACGTTTTGATTGGTCATGGATGATCCACTTCTATACTCTTGCTCTGTATCAATCAGACCTGTGATATCAGACGGCAAAGATTACGTTAACGATATGGTGCACTTCTGCATATCTAAGGGCATGTTCGATTGGTAAGGATCGGGATCGGGATCCCGATCTCAGATCCGTCGGATCCTTCAGAGTCAACTGAACACTTTATTTTGGACCTTGACTGTTGCCATATTGACGAAGTAATAGAATGGCGCTCACAAGTCACCTAAAAGGGTGAAAGTCGTACTCATCGCACACATCCTACAAAAAGTCAGCAAACTCTATCTCAATCCACGTATGCGTACCACCATGTGTACAAAAATGATTTTCACCCGCCATATACGCACAAAGGTCACATTCGGATCCGTTGGATCCGGCCAACCCTGCTCCCCGAGGTGGGTTGACCGGATCTAAATCCGAAGGATCCATATCCGGATTCGACCAATCGAAAGGGTGCGAATCCAGTGGATCCGGTGGGTCGGGATCCCGATCCTACCAATCGAACATGCCCTCAGTCTAGTTTACTGTGTAGGACTCCGGGACCAGTCTAGGCCCTGTGACCAGTCCAGGCCCTGTGACCAGTCCAGGCCATGTGACCAGTCCAGGCCATCTGACCAGTCCAGGCCCTGTGACCAGTCCAGGCCCTGTGACCAGTCCAGGCCCTGTGACCAGTCCAGGCCATGCGACCAGTCCAGGCCCTGTGACCAGTCCAGGCCCCGTGACCAGTCCAGGCCTTGTGAGTAGTACAGGCCTTGTGACCAGTACAGGCCCTGTGACCAGTCCAGGCCCTGTGACCAGTCCAGGCCCTGTGACCAGTCCAGGCCCTGTGACCAGTCCAGGCCCTGTGACCAGTCCAGGCCATGCGACCAGTCCAGGCCCTGTGACCAGTCCAGGCCCTGTGACCAGTCCAGGCCCTGTGAGTAGTACAGGGCCTGGGAACAGTCACTGGTCATATAACCAGTCATATCGTCAACAAAAAAACTAATGCTCTGTGACTAGTCGCCAAACAAACATGGCTGAACCAATCACAGTTTTTACTGTGCCCCCCCCCCCCCCCCCACACACACACCAGTCACAAGGAAACTATCAGAAAGAAATCTGTCAATATTCTCAATAGATAGTCCACTACACAACTCTAGGGGTTCACAATACCTACTGCTAATCAGCACACTCCTTTATGGTGGTACAGCCTCCTGGAATACATCATGGTCAGCCAAGATATCGGGTATTCTTCTACTGATAGACTTGAGGAGATCTTGTATTATCACCGGTGGATAGTTAGATTTGGGGTTACCCTGCGCACGGGGTTCTCCCCTGAAAGCGGACCGCGCGCAGACTGTGCAGGTTGCACCACTGTGCGCATGTATGCATGCACTGTCTAACCATTTCCCGACTACAATAGCGTCGTGGCGCCCGGTTTCGGTATGATTTGTATTGACTGGTTTACAGGTTTGGTTGTGTGATAACGAGGAAGTTCACTACTTCTAGGTTAACATTGATCGTAATCTTAAACCCATGATGCTGTAATTCCTGGATTATAGTTTTCCACAGGTCATCTAACCAGTCTCACTACCCGTTGTATTCATCAACATAGGTAGGCCACCACCACGATATAGCCAGATCGACTCCTTGCTGATGTGCTTTTCTAGTTCGGTCAGATCGAAGCAATCCGCCCAACAAATCGCATACCTCACTCCCATCAAAGAAGCCAAATCTACCACACTATAATTAGTGTTCTGCTATCAGTTATAGCCATTGCAACCAATGAGGTTGAAAGAATAAAACACTAAACTACACCATGGCAGATACATGTACAACATCTAACACTCTGTAACTTACCATCTTGTAGACTATGACATCAGTGTGTATGTCCATCACTGCTTGGCGGGTAACAGGTCTTTGAACACGGTGATGTGATACGGATAATTGATCAGCAAATCCGGGATAGTGTGGCTGCTTTTTTGCGAGTGCCGAGCGCCATATTCGAGTACCATCTATCAAAGTAGACAGAAAGAGTGAAGTAATGCAAAATTTAAGCTCATCCAGGATAAATAAAAAAACTATCTTTTAACACTGAACACAATCTTCAGATGGGTGAACAGTCTGAGACTCTAAAACATTTTTATGTCTCACAACTAGACTTGGGCAGCAGCATGTAGTCAAAACACTCAAAACTATCATTACGCACAAGCTCGTTTTTCCAACCTGCACTGTAGAATCAAGACAGGCATCATCAAAGGCAAACACACTAGCACGAGAACTGACCGGAATAATGTAACATCCTCGAGATTTGAGCGCTGATGCCTCAAGAGTATCATACCCGTGAGGTGTACGAACAGGATGACGTAGTAACTGAGTGTCACTCACACCCTGACATGCTACAACACTGAAACCATGACATCTAGCTGCAGTCATATTTACTGATCCACCATTGTATACATCAGCTGGATACGCATCAGTCTCCATTGGTTCATGGTCTTGGTTGAATATGCAGAATGCCTGAACTTGCACACCATCAACCAGAGATATGCCAGTGGTGTACTTTGGGCCAATGAAGTATGACAGCATATCATACATCCGGCCAGACTTCTGACTTGTCAAATCGTTCTGGAACCACACCAAACATCTTTCCAATATCTGTAGCTGCTGGTCGTTAGTGACAGGGAGGGCGTTGTGCAAATATAGCAGTTGCACAAGGCGAGGACTGCACTCTGTACAGAAGCCAGGGCAGAGAGAATTGAGAGAAATGCAGACGGTAGTTACACAGACCAACAGATACATTTCAGGATGTGGAAAAGAAAAAACAAAAATCGTTGACATCTGAAAGTGATCCATTTGTCATTTCCATGCCAACAGACTACTTCCTATAAAACAGACACAGTCAGGGGAACAACACTGGATGAATTTTTGTTGGTGTGTGAGTTACGAATACGAATTTTGTGCACATACTTCACAAGTACACACAAGTCCATACTGTCTGTCCAATTTACAAACATCATCAGAATGCATATCGCACAGTGCACATTGTACTGCATTCTGGTGATAGCAATTTGTGTAAATGTCGAAACTGATACAGTGGACTGAGGTGTGATTTTGCAGTGCCGAGGAATAGAGCAGGTGTACTCAAAACTTCCCATAGTATTATATGGCTGCAGGTTGCCCCATCCAAATTACTAAAATGTACTAGATTGCGAAAATACTAAACCAAGCTCGAAATGGCTGCAGACTTTCCATCTGCATGACTCATAGTCATCATCATCCAATTGTACTGTATAGTTGCAGGATGCCTCACCCGTATCACTAGAATGTAGTTGATTGCTAAAATACTAACACAAGTTTGGAATGGCTTCAGCCGGACTGTCCAACTGCATGATTCAAAATCATACCTATAATCCTGCCATCATGATTATATTTTAAAACCCCAAGTTGAATTATGATCAGTTTACAACATACATGATCATAATATGTATGTGAAAGCAAATCTGCACTTGCAGAATATTGTGTAGCAAAAACCATAAACTGAGATCGTTTCTCTTTCCGTCTAAAACAACACTTGGTTTCAACTCTGAGACACCAAGGACGATTACTACAGAGGTTTGTTGTATGAATGTCACTTGCAACTCGGCGTGAGCAGAAATTCCGCAACCAACAGACACACGTCTCTATTCAATGGGTCTTATTCCAGAATAGACTTACTCTGTATCAGATGATCAACACTGATCAGCTTCAGCAAGGTACTGCACTCTACACCACACAGTGTACAGTAGAGAAGTAGTCTGAGTACTACAGTATGACGATACTTGGGATCACCTGTACTCTGGATGGTAAGGTAGCGATTCGTCAAGTGTTGGGCCAGGTGACGATCAGGCATATTCAACAAAAACAATGCATATGCACACTGATCAACATCTCTACATTCCTCAATGCACATGACATCAAGCTGCTGTTGTAGTAACTTCGTGATTCCTGGAGCTGAACATCTACACTTTCCAGCCCAGTACACTGCCCATCTCAGGTGCTCTTGATTCCTGTTGTCTTGCCAGACATACGTGGGTAGACTGGCCAGTTGGTTCAGAGCAGATACTGCCAACTTGGTCACGTCAGTGTTCTCCTCACTGATATGAGAACATGCCTGCAGGATATCCCCAACCTTGCTTGGACGCCGTAGTTCAGTAACATGTCGTTGAATGAGAGAACATTGTGATAGTAGATAGCTGGGTTGAAAAGTGCGTGACTTCACGATGCTATCACAGATTGAATCAATGGCATCAACAGCATCATGTACCGTAGTGACTTGACGACCAGACTGATCTGATCTCCACCTAACTGACTGCCTGGACTGTGCTGATGTCTGAGTCACCTTACTAGTAACACATAACCTTGACCCGCTGGTTGACTGGACTAACCGGCTCTGTACACTCACAGCATAACCACGCTGAACAAACTTACTGACAGTCTTGAGATTGCCATGTAACTTTGAAGCAAACATGTTCTCCTGGTGATGTTGTATATTCAGTAGTACACGGGTGTATAGCGTACAGTGTATGGTGTGGATTACTGAGAATTTCTCAGAAGATTACGTACTGCCGGTCTGTAGACAATAACACACAGTGCGACAAAATACACACACACACACACCCACACACATATACACACACACACACCACATACACACAACATACAACAGATCAGATACTAGTATACATGCAACTGTTCACAATATCTACAGCCATGCTAGATGAAATCCGGGATCATGAATAAGACATTTCCGGCCATACAGTGGTGCACAACCCAATGTTGGAAAGTCTACGGCTGCACAGTGTCCAGTACTAGCTGACTTACATGGACCAGATTTCAGTGACCAACACTTACTGCCTCAACCAGATCAGTCACGAAGGACATGATTCGTAAAACTGCTTTTGGGGGTTTTCAGTAAAATGCAAAAGATCACTTCAGTCAGTTTATAACTACACGTACACGTGTTGTGTGACTTGAAAACAAACTCCAGTCAACCACATCGAAATTCCCTGGAAATTATTATTTGGCCTAACTAAGGATGGGTAAACGAGTCACCAACATGTACCCCGGCATACTCGTTGTCTACTACATGTATTTTTAGGAGTTGTTAAACCTCTCGATTTTTTCGTCGGCCGAAAGGTCGGATAGGGTGGTAAGATTATGCATATCCGATACACAACACAGTATGACATTGCCACATTGTGCGCGTTCGATTACACACTGTAAAAGCCATAATTATAACGAAGTGCTAACTCTAACGAGTTAACGAGGAGAAATCTGTCGTTAAAATAGAAATCGTTATACAGTTATCGATACATATACTGTCCTATTGAGCGTTGGGAATAGGTGAGAATCGTTACCTTTGGTACACGTAAACCAGTCGATTTTGGGAAATCGTTATATATGCGCCTCGTTAGAATAATGGCTTTTACAGTAGTTGCTACTGTCTTATGTCTTCCCGAAAAGCTATTTGCCGCAGTTGAGTTTCCGCTGGGGCTGATTGTTAGAACAGATCATTTTGGGTGGTCCTTTCGCACACAGGTTCAGCTTTATCGAAGCCCAATATTGTTGCCGACATGGAGCCTTCACGATCACCGGGATGGACCGGTAGTCAGGTACGCGAAGCTGGGTCCACGTGCGCACGAGGGTGTGCGTGATCTCTTTTTACGATCAATTTTGTTTGTGATATCATATGCCATGAATAAAATGCGTTGTGAATTCTGGTCGTTCGTTTACATAGCCGGAATTCGCACATTCTGGTCATTCGAGAAGTACAAAACCCAGTTCCAGAATTGTGCAAACGTGTAATCGAAAGCGCGAATTGAAATCCGGAAAACTCGAACGCACTCAGCGGTCTCAGCCCGGCAGTCAACTATTGTTTCTTCAACATTCATCTTCCTTTTTGTACATACATAATTCTCTTACCCCAGTAAGTTTTGATAGCGGTATGATACAGTTGCACAGTGAATAGCAGAGATGTTCAGCACTGCGCGGATTACCACAGCAACACTGTTGTGAATGTAACAAACTATTATGCACGTCAGTAGCCAATAGTGCACCTTCTCAGCGATCGACGCCAGGATAAGGAATATTCTTCAACTGATGATATAAACCAGCGAGTGCCACTAAGTCCTTTCTGACCTTAGCATAACAACACGCTAACGCTAGCTGGTAGATCTAACATTATGAAGGCGAGATCGAGGTGCTCTTGTTTCTTGTTTTGTTTTTTTGTCCTTGTTTTTTTAGCGCAAATGGCCAAAAATTTCAAAAAGGTTTTTGATAACACACGCGTCATCGATCATCACTCACGTGTCAAACCTCACGGTGTACTAGTACTAGTACTACTGTACTAGTATTACCTGGACACGGACCGTAGATCTAGTCTGTAGCCGTAGTGTAGCGCACGTACAATCATAATCAGTCGGTGCATAATAATATTCGCGGGATCCGCGTCGGCATCGCTTGAACTGTTGAAGTTAGTATTAGTTGAATGTTCAGAAACACACAAACTAGTCGGTGCATGCATGATTTTATCTGACTGCTGAGTTGGCGCTACCACTAGTAGCCCAAACAGATAACACAAGCCGCACTCCGGACATAACGCTAAAATGTATTCATTGGGATAGACCACCCCCCGTAGATCCACTTATTATTCAATACGAGATCAAAGAAAGAAAAATTATTCAGAACCGAGCAGCAGTGATATCCTGGACATCCGTACACTACATGACATGCACATGTAGAATAGTGAATTTTGTTGATGCGAAACAAGAGAGCCTGGTCAGGACCATTGCTAGGATCGGTCTATGTTAGTTCTATATCCTCATACGAACAAGCTACATCACCGGGCTACAACACACATGGTTGGTCATAATCCGATCTCACATGGTCGTGCCGTGCCGCCTTACAGACCCCCCCCCCCCCCCCCCCCCCGCCCACACACACACACAGATCACGGCAGACGCTACTACCTTTTAAACATGTAGCTCAGTCAAAAATCAGGATCCTGGCTACTCCAGATGCTACATGTACTACGTGTACAATGGAAGCTGAAAACACACATGCGGAGGATTTACAATATCAACGTACTGTATATGCATGCACAAACTGAGAACAAATAATTGAGAATAAAACTCACTGAGACACAAACACTCGCGCACACACTCAACAATGCCTTGATTTCAAAAACACAATTAACATGCATACTGCACTAGCACTAGCAGCACTACCCTCTCACATCCGATGTACTCAGTTATTCAGTTACTCAGCCGGGAGTGGAATTAAAGAAGAGGCAGCTTCCTCATTGTTCAGCTCAGCAGAAAAAGTGGCGAGGATTCGGAGAAATGAAAACTTCAATCACAAGAAAAAAGAGATGTCGAGAAATTTCTTAGTAATCACAAAACGGACCTCATATTCCAGTCTCACATGATATCACACACTTCCTCACGGCACAACTCGGCATAGTATCCTGCTGTTCAGAGATATCTGAGAGAACACAGAAGAATCACACAAACAGCAAATACAATTGTTTGTGATCGGGAAAGTATTACACAGCTCACTCCAATCTCCATGGTGGTTGTCAAGTTTCTTTCCCGACCTGGCTGGCCGGCTACTTGTACATGTATATCTGTTCCATACTGTTACGATGGCAAGAGTACATAAAGCAGAATGTGTGACTCTGTAGATGGGTTCTGGACAGTAGAATTCTCCGTTTATATACGTTTTGATTGGTCATGGATGATCCACTTCTATACTCTTGCTCTATGTCAATCAGACCTGTGGTATCAGACGGCAAAGATTACGGAAGCGATATGGTTCACTTCTGCATATCTAAAGGCATGTTCGATTGGTAAGGATCGGGATCGGGATCCCGATCTCAGATCCGTCGGATCCTTCAGAGTCAACTGAACACTTTATTTTGGACCTTGACTGTTGCCATGTTGACGAAGTAATAGAATGGCACTCACAAGTCAACTAAAAGGGTGAAAGTCGTACTCATCGCACCGGCACGAGTGTTGAAAGCCTGCTCTGCTGAACTGGCGCAACCGCTTTCCATACTGTTTACCCAATGCTTCCAAACTGGGATACAACCCAAGACGTGGAAGATTGCCAACACAGTCCCTATATTCAAACGGAAATCAAAGTCTCTACCCTCCAATTACCGTCCAGTTTCGCTCTTGTGTATTCTGTCCAAGGTGATGGAGACAATCATCAACAGAACACTGAATCACAAATTTCCTCGAGTCGAACAACGTCTTCTCCACCAGACAGTTTGGATTTCGCCATGGTCATAGTGCAGCCGACCTCCTTACCAGCCTCCACCACCAGTGGCTGCATACAGCCGGAGAGAAAGGCGCAGCACGCATACTCGCCATTGACATCGCCGGTGCGTTTGATCGCGTATCACACCCCGGTGTGCTACACAAGTCCGACGTATACGGCCTGCGTGGGCAACTGCACCAGTGGCTCAGCAGCTACCTCAGTGAACGCTACCTTCAAGTGGTCATTTGTGGCCAGACATCCTCAAGGCTCCCAATTCAGGCTGGAGTCCCCCAGGGCAGTATTCTGGGTCCGACTCTCTTCCTCATGTACGTGAACGACTGCGAGGACCACGTACCAGCCGGTGCTGACCTAGCCTCGTTCGCAGACAACACTACGCTGTATGCCAACATCACCCCCACCACCCAAGAAGATACCACCCAAGCCCTCCAGCTAGCAGTCAACAACATCTCCCGCTGGGGTCAAGAATGGAAAATAAAATTTGAACCAGCCAAATCCCAGGCACTGACCGTCAGTTTCCACCGCACTCAATGGGACATGCCACCGATTGACTTCAACGGATCAAATGTGACGGAACAGGAGGAGCTCAAAATCTTGGGCATCAGTTTCGATGGTCAGCTTACCTTCCGGCGCCACCTTCGTACCGTAGCCCTCCGGGCAACACAGCGACTTGGTGCTTTGCGTAAGGCTTTCCACCGCCTAGACGTGCCCGGTCGCATCCAAGCCTACAATGCTTTTGTGCGCCCAGTGATGGAGTACTGCCCTATTGTCTGGATGGGAGCGGCCCCATCCCATCTTGCAAGACTCGACCGTGTGCAAGCCCGGGCCATCCGTGCCATCGCCCCAATGTGTTGGCTGCCGAGTCTTGCTCTTCGTCGGATGGTTGCAGCACTTTGCCTCCTGTACAAGATGCATTGTCCGGATGCGCATCCCCTTCTACAGAGGATGCTGCCACCCCAGCAGCCCCAACACCGAACAGTCCACTCCACCCGTAGTACATTCCAGAGATGTAATGCTCACGCACACCAACTGGCCAATGAACTTCCAGTCTGTTCCCGAAACAACCTGTGTTGAGCCTACCCTCACGCAGTTGTCCCCGTCTGGAACCAGCTGCCCGCCGGAGTCTTCTCTGGTCCTTTCTGCACCAAGAACTTGCAACACTTCAAAGTTGCAGCCAACCGCTATTTGAAGACCAACGACTGGTCGTGGGCACATGACCATCTCTGATCATCAGCATCATATCTGCCTCACCCCATGACTTCCAAATTCCGCTCCACATACTATTCCCAATAACGTCTGTTCTTCTTTTCTCTCCTTCTCCTCCTAGCACTGTCTGTCTTATCATTCCCTCCTTCTAATGTACTGTCTCTCCTCCTAACATTTCGTATCATGTACCTGTCACTCCTTTCATTTTCTTCTTTTTTTGGTGCGTTTTATGTCCCCATGACGTCGAGACCTCAGGTCGGCTGAGGGCAAAAAGCCTCACCATCACTATGCTCCCACTATGCAATTTTTTGTCTTTGCCTGTGAGCTGTGATCATTGTAAAAAAACAAAAAAAACACACATCCTACAAAAAGTCAGCAAACTCTATCTCAATCCACGTATGCGTACCACAATGTGTACAAAAATGATCTTCACCCGCCATATACGCACAAAGGTCACATTCGGATCCGTTAGATCCGGCCAACCCTGCTCCCCGAGGTGGGTTGACCGGATCTAAATCCGAAGGATCCATATCCGGATTCGACCAATCGAAAGGGTGCGAATCCAGTGGATCCGGTGGGTCGGGATCCCGATCCTACCAATCGAACATGCCCTCAGTCTAGTTTACTGTGTAGGACTCCGGGACCAGTCTAGGCCCTGTGACCAGTCCAGGCCCTGTGACCAGTCCAGGCCCTGTGACCAGTCCAGGCCATGTGACCAGTCCAGGCCATGTGACCAGTCCAGACCCTGTGACCAGTCCAGGCCATGTGACCAGTCCAGGCCATGTGACCAGTCCAGGCCCTGTGACTAGTCCAGGCCCTGTGACCAGTCCAGGCCATGTGACCAGTCCAGGCCATGTGACCAGTCCAGGCCCTGTGACCAGTCCAGGCCCTGTGACCAGTCCAGGCCCTGTGACCAGTCCAGGCCATGTGACCGGTCCAGGCCCTGTGACCAGTCCAGGCCCTGTGAACAGTCCAGGCCCTGTGACCAGTCCAGGCCCTGTGACCAGTCCAGGCCCTGTGACCAGTCCAGGCCCTGTGACCAGTCCAGGCCCTGTGACCAGTCCAGGCCCTGTGACCAGTCCAGGCCCTGTGACCAGTCCAGGCCCTGTGAGTAGTACATGCCCTGGGAACAGTCACTGGTCCTGTAACAAGTCATATCGTCAACAAGAAAACTAATGCTCTGTGACTAGTCGCAATACCAAACAAACATGGCTGAACCAATCACAGTTTTTACTGTGCCCCCCCCCCCCCACACCAGTCACTAGGAACCTATCAGAAAGGAATTTGTCAATATTCTCAATAGATAGTCCACTACACAACTCTAGGGGTTCACAATACCTACTGCTAATCAGCACACTCCTTTATGGTGGTACAGCCTCCTGGAACACATCATGGTCAGCAAAGATATCGGATATTCTTCTACTGATAGACTTGAGGAGATCTTGTCTTATCACCGGTGGATAGTTGGATTTGGCGTTACCCTGCGCACGGGGTTCTCCCCTGAAAGCGGACCGCACGCAGACTGTGCAGGTTGCACCACTGTGCGCATGTATGCATGCACTGTCTAACCATTTCCCGACGACAATAGCGTTGTGGCGCCCGGTTTCGGTATGATTTGTATTGACCGGTTTACAGGTTTGCTTGTGTGATAACGAGGAAGTTCACTACTTCTAGGTTAACATTGATCGTAATCTTCAACCAATGACACTGGAATTCCTGGATTATAGTCTTCCACAGGCCATCAGTCTCACTACCCGTTGTATTCATCAGCATAGCTAGGTCACCACCACGATATAGCCAGATCGATTCCTTGCCGATGTCCTTTTCTAGTTCGGTCAGATCGAATAATTGCGCCCACAAACTTGCATACTTCAGCCCTATCAAAGGAGCCGAGCGCACTACACTATATTAGTGTTATATTTCTGCAATCAGTTATACATATTGCAACCAATGATGCTACAAGACTAAATCTAGACTAATACACTATCCACCATTCTGTAAACTTACCATCATGTAAACTATGACATCAGTGTGTATGTCCATCACTGCTTGGCGGGTAACAGGTCTTTGAACACGGTGATGTGATACGGATAATTGATCAGCAAATCCGGGATAGTGTGGCTGCTTTTCTGCGAGTCCCGAGCGCCATATTTGAGTACCATCTATCAAAGTAGACAGAAAGAGTGAAGTAATGCAAAATTTAAGCTCATCCAGGATAAAAAAAACTCTCTTTTAACACTGAACACAATCTTCAGATGGGTGAACAGTGTGAAACTATAAAACATGTTTATGTCTCACAACTAGACTTCGGCAGCAGCATGTAGTCAAAACACTCAAAACTATCATCACGCACAAGCTCGTTTTTCCAACCTGCACTGTAGAATCAAGACAGGCATCATCAAAGGCAAAACACTAGCACGAGAACTCACCGGAATAATATAACATCCTTGAGATTTCAGCGCCGATGCCTCAAGAGTGTTATATCCGTTAGGTGTACGTACAGGATGACGTAGTAACTGAGTGTCACTCACACCCAGACATGCCACAACACTGAAACCATGACGTCTAGCTGCAGTCATATCTACTGATACACCATTGTACACATCAGCTGGATACGCACCAGTCTCCACTGGTTCATGGTCTTGGTTGAATACGCAGAATGCATGGACGTTCACACCATCAACAAGAGATATGCCAGTGGTGTACTTTGGGCCAATGAAGTATGACAGCATGTCATACATTCGACCTGATTGCCGACTTGTCAAATCCTTCTGCAACCACACCAAACATCTTTCCAATATCTGTAGCTGCTGGTCGTTAGTGACAGGGAGGGTGTTGTGAAAATATAGCAGTTGCACAAGGCGAGGACTGCACTCTGTACAGAAGCCAGGGCAGAGAGAATTGAGAGAAATGCAGACGGTAGTTACACAGACCAACAGATACATTTCAGGATGTGGAAATGAAAAAAACAAAAATCGTTGACATTTGTAAGTGATCCATTTGTCATTTCCACGCCAACAGCCTACGTATCATTACCATACGGTCTGAAAACTTGTTCTTCTATTGGTCAGTTTAAAGATCTACTATCACAACTGAACTAGATGCAAATAATTATTATCGAAGAACATTCTCGAATACCTGGGTGATGCACGAATTTTGATTGTGCTCACTTCCGTTAATCGTTTTTCTTTGTAATTTTCCATTCATTTTTTGCTTTAATTCATATTTGCTTTGTTTTCCTAGCTTACTATTGCCGTGGCTGGCTCAACGCCCTTGTCTCAGGGGATTCTGTCCCTGCATTAGCTATGCTTGTCACATGCTATGAGATTGTGTCTAATAATAATAATAATAATATTTGTAACTCGGATGTTGAGCCATAAATAAATGTAAAAGAGAAAAGGACATATGGATACGAGTTAAGAGTAACTCTCCATCACTGTAACATGATACTATATACAGTCAGAAAAAAGGAGATGTGTTGAAGTTAGGTGTCAGGACGTCGAATATCTCAGTACTCTGTCAGTTTTGTGCCTAGTTATTGCACTTTCTGACTGTATATAGTATCATGTTACAGTGATGGAGAGTTACTCTTAACTCGTATCCATAATTATGTCCTTTTCTCTTTTACAATAATATTTGTGCAATTGTTAATTTTGCTCCTGAATTGTCCTCCCTTTTGCTTTGCTACCGTCCTTCTCCTTCCTCCACCCATTTTCTTAATTAACCTCATTATCACATTCGCTTCCATAATTGGGCTTGGAGCCCGTGTGTACTTGCGAATTCAAATAAAAGCATACGTACATACAGATACAGTAATGAATACAGACTCGGTCACTCAGTAGGATCACTGCAGGTTCACTGGATGAGTGCCTCCGCCACCAGTGCCACCACTAGCACAGCAGGGGATTCAGGCACGGCAGGAGCAAACATGCACCTTGAGGCGGGCAGGCACATTGCACCACAACGCAAAAGGGCAAATCCAAGGCGGCAGCGCAGCAAGGAGATAATCTGCGCGTATGGCTCCTTGCTCTTATCCGCCAGGAGAGAAGCAATCCGCGTAAAAGAGCATTGGCATGCTTGCCATAGCCACCAGAGGCAGAAAGCACAACGAAGGAGGCATGCCCGGCTTCGCGTAGATTCTATTCGCTCTTCGTACATCCGGCACTTTTCCTGTTCATGGCGTCTGTAGCTAGCAGTCGCGAAAAGTTGATCTGAGCTCAACCAGGGAGTCGTAAAATGGTATTTTACGACTCCCTGAGCTCAACTATTTCGCGTATCCGGGAGGTGTCCTGACAGTTCACAGACTACCTTTTTGGGAGACAGCCCATTTCACAGGATACCCAACTCACCGAAAGACAGTTCACAGAGCCCTGTTTTCATCGACAGCCCATTTCACCGAATTTGAACAGGCATGCACTCAAAAATGCATTGTTTCGAAAGAAAGCAAAATAATATGAGACTATGCACGTGTGACATGTGACTGATGATTTTTTCTTTCTTTCATATCTGGCTTGCAAGTGTTGAGTTTCGGAGAGAAAAGAGCAGTACGTGGCATGTGGCCTCAAATTTCCTAACACTTTGAAAATACATAGTCATTTTACTATACACCACATTGAACGCAAAATTATGCGCTACTCCCCGGAGGAACTCTCTTGGATGTCGCTGCTCGACGGACTGTAGCAGAGCCCTCAGCCGTTCCGCCTATTCGACAACATTGAACGCCAGATTATGTGCTACTCCACGGAGGAACTCTCTTGGTGGTCGCTGCTCCACGGACTGTAGCAGAGCCCTCAGCTACGAATGCTCGAAGTAGGTGAGGATCGCCTCGGCGTCGTCGGGGAAATTGTCCTCCACCGCTTCGAAGTAAGTGCCCACGTCCCCAGTTGGTACGAAAGCCAACGCTGGCAGCATTCGCAGGGCCACTGCAATCGAATAGTCGTAAATCAAGGGCTTATGTATGACCTGGCGCGTGTGCGTTGTCACCTCTGGCGTGGATATTATTGTTGGTCACGCTGAAACTTACCCGTCCTGCCGAGGATCGAGCCGCATTTTCCCATTTTTGTCCACTCTCGGCGAAATGGGCTGTCTGTGAATAAGTCAGTCTGTGAACTGGGTTTTCGTTGAATTGGGTGTCGGTGAATAGTGCATTCTGTGAGACTGGCACTCTGTGAAGTGTCATTCTGTGAGTTGGGAATCTGTGAAACGTCACACGGTGAAATTGGATTCTGTGAACTGTCGCATAAGCGAAAAGCCCTTTAAGAAATATAAAATCCCATATACACTGTAATGCCAGCATTATCCGCTGACCCCTAACAAGGAGGGCAGTGAATTGCTTCCGCATTGGCCTAGGTCAGACTGTCTTGCCATCACTAAGGACAATAATGAAGAACAAAAGGTCATGGAATACAATCTGTGAGAACGAAAAAACATATACCTGCGATGCTATGGTACCTATCCAATTCCACCGTATGACCCAGCCACTAGTTACAAATTCAAAAACACAGCTTTCGCAGCATACAACGCTGTTGACCAATTAATTTTCATCCACTAGCAATCCTTAAAGTGATATCTACACAAGAAAGAGTTTGGAATTTTGTGCCATATTTTCAACATGTCATTTACCACGGGCATATTCCCTTCCGCATGGAAAACAGCGAAAGTCATACCTGTATTCAAGAAAGGTTCCCGCCACGAACCTGCAAACTACCGCCCTATCTCTCTTCTTCCCTGCGTGTCCAAAGTAAGTGAACGCATCTTTTATGACCACTTAAGAAGCGTACTACAGTACAAAATTTCAGCTTGCGACTTGTGATGTAAAACAAACCTGGCGAATCATCAACCAGTTGACGGGGAAACAAAGAAAATCGGCACCGCTTCAGTGCTCAGCTGAGGCAATTCGAAGTGCTTTCGCCAAGATCGTGGAAGATCCCAGCCGCCCAGTTCATCTTCACCTACCCCAAGGGCCACGAACGGCAACTAGTTTTGTGGAATTTGTTCCTGTATCTATTGCAAAAGTCCGGAAGCTTCTAGAGCAACAGAATCCGACGAAGGCAACTGGCAGTGACGGCATCCCTGCAGCCCTTCTTCGAGCTCATGCAGGTGTTCTTGCGCCGTCATTGGCCTTACTGTTCAACAAATCCATGAGGGAGGGACATTTCCCAGCTCCTATGAAGGTGGCCAGCATTTCACCTCTGTTTAAAGGTGGTGATCCCAGCATAGCAAAGAATCACAGACCCGTGTCTCTAATGTCGATAGTTTCAAAGCTTTTGGAACGAGTCATCCATGATCAGCTCACTCAGTACTTGTGCCGACATGATCTATTTCCACCAACTCAGTTCGGCTATCGTTCACATCATTCCACATGTGATGCCCTTGTATTAGCCGTTGAGGGCATATGCCAAGCCCAGACAAAAAAGTACTTCACGGGGATTGCTTTCGTAGATATGTCAAAAGCATTTGATAAGGTGAAGCACCAAACCCTTATTCAGGACCTATTCGAGGTCGGAATTGGTGGAACGGTGCTGCAATGGCTTGCAGACTACCTCTCAGATCGGACACAGTATGTCAAAGTCGGTCAGGTACAGAGCTCACCATACACCAGCTTCTCCGGAGTACCACAGGGGTCAGTTCTCGGGCCCCTGTTGTTTGTTCTCTACGTCCGTGACATTGCGAAAGAGCTGTCCCCTTACAACGTTGCGACCCTGCAATTTGCGGACGATATCTCAATTAGATCCAGCAGCATGAGCACGGATGAGGTGTCCCAAAATCTCTCAAGTGCTGTCCAGCACCTCGCCGATTGGCTTAGGAACCGCGGTCTCATCTTGAATGAAAGGAAGACACAGATCATGTTGGGTATTGCATTATGAATTGGTTGAGTAGATAGTTCCGGAATTAATTCCGTGTTCGATATTGTTTATTTTTTACATATTTTTATTTTATTTTATTCGTGTTCGATATTTAATTTTAATTTTAATTTTTTTTTTACAAATATTGTTTTATTCCATTTCACATTTTTCATTCGTGTTGAGTTTAACTACTCACTGTACTGATACATGGTGATGATTGTGCTTTGCTTTGCCCGTAAAAGAGGCCTTCCAGAAAAAAAAGACACAGATCATGTCGATATCGCCAGTACGATCTCAAACATTTGACTTGCAAGTGCAATGTAATGGACTGCCTCTGCCAACTGTTCGCTCTGCGAAATATTTAAGTCTCCACTTTGATGCAGACATGAGCTGGAACACCATGGTCGACCACGTCGCACGGGGCGTCGCGTCGAAAGTTGGCGTGCTCAGGCGATACGCTACGTTCCTGCCCTTTCAATGTCGCATAGCCTATTTTCGTTCTTTCATTTTATCACACTTTATGTATGCCGCTTCTGCTTACTTACCATTTCTCACGGCGTATCAAAGTCGACGGCTTAATGGGCTCTTCAAGCGTGCTGTACGCACAGTCTGTCGGGTACCTCCCGGGACACCCACAAGCAATATTCTTACACGCATGAACATCCAAACATTGACCACATACACCAACATGCACCTTCTGGTTTTTTATCTGGCGTTGTCTCCATGACTCCTCTAACATCAGCATGTTGTTCGCTAACTTTTTCAGCCGCAGTAATTCCACTCAAACTCGTGGTGGGCACAGCAATTTACTGATTGTCCCAGCCAGCCCAACTACATATCTTGCCAAACGTGTTACCTATGCTGGGACCATCTTATGGAACCAGCTCCCCGCTGCGGTCAGGCAAGAAAGAAAACGCAATCGCTTTAAGTCAATGGCTCTTGCCTTTTTGCTTACCAGATTAATAAGCCTTTTTACAAATACTGTATGCACTGCTCTTTACGTTATTTTCTCCCTATGCAAGTCGCAACTCCTGTTTTGAGTTGTTTTTCTTCTCTCTTTTTCTTTCCCTACTAGTTGCTGTTACACTCACTGATCCGCTAGGCTTATGCACAGATATACAGCATTCCCTCACTAGTGGGACCATTGTTTTTAGGCTAGGGTCTGTTTTGGACTTCCCACTCTAAATAAAGAATACAAACAAACAAACTTATACAGACATGTTTCGCCGTTTCTGAGTCCCGCACAATCTGGGTTTCGTAAAGGCGACTCCACCTCCCTTCAACTGACCCGCATCGTGCAGCAGGTGTGCCAGCATAGGGATAACAGAGCGCTTGCTGGCATTTGCTTCTTTGACTTGGCCAAGGCTTTTGATACCGGCTGGCATCGAGGACGTTTGGCAAAGCTCGAGCATGCATTCAGGGTACGCAAACAACCACTCTCCTGGCTGAAATCTTATCTCTCTGGGCGTTATCAGTACGTAACTGTGCTTGGCACATCCTCGGCTGCAGAGCCAGTATTGTCAGGCGTTCCTCAAGGATCAATTCTTGGTCCCCTACTATTTATAATTTACGTAAACGACTTACCTGCAGTCTTCCCTGGAACGTCTCTGTTTGCTGACGACACGACCCTTCTCACCTCATCAGCTTCCCTCACTGGCCTGAAAAACA